GGGGTGCTATATTGGGGGTTTAAAGGGGTGTCTCCTTGAAGGGCACTGACTGAATTCAGGACTTGTACATAGAAATGTTTTATAGAGACTACATTAAAATATCTTGGACTTTATTTTTGCAAAGAGAGCACCTATTTAAATGAATTGTTTTGGTTCTATTTTTTTTTTTTTTGTTCCTTTCTGTTTAAGTGGTCGGTTTGGTGTCACCCAAGGCAGAAGCTGCAGATGGAGGGGTTGGAAAGAGTCATTTCTGGGGGGGATCATCATGAAGCTGGCAGGGTGGGCTATATTGGGAACTTCAGACCCCTCAACTCCACATCGAGTTTGGAGTGCGCTTAAAGGGGGGGTCTGCCTGCAAGGGGGGGAACTTAACCCCACTATTGCCAGGCACTATTTTACAGGATCTCTCTTGTGACTGGCTCAGTTGGTCACATCCAGAAACCACTCACAAGATTTTCGGGGGAAATCGCTAAACTTGTTCATATTCCTAATGATCTCTTTCCCTCTCTTGTCTGCAGCCTTTTGTCCTTGTCAGTTTGTGTGACTTTAAAGATGAAGGCAGAAATAGCAACATTTTAACTTTATTCCTTTTTGTTTCCCCCTCCACCGCCTTACTGTGTTGTGACTTCAGTAGTGTGCAGTGTACAATGCAGCTTGGCTATATTGAAAGGGAGGGGGTTTGTTTGGGGTCTTGGGGCTGTCAGTATCATTAATGTCACATCATTCAGGGTTCTCCAACCCCTGTGGACTCAATAGACTAGCTCAGCCCAAACATACTTTTATGGCTTAACTTTTGGTTTTGTTTTCTTCACTGTCCTTTTTAAATTTTTAAACTTTCATGAAACCAGCATTGTATGGTCTTGTGATCTGTCCATGTTTTTGTTTTGTTTTTTAAGTTTTTTGTTTTGTTTTATATATATTTTTATATATATTTGTTTTGGCATTTAATCCTTTTGTTGTAAAAAGGTGGTTTAGGATCAAGCCTGCCATGCCAACATTCACACTTACAAGCACTATGTGTATTAAAATACGTTGCCAAACGTTTTTATTTTTGTGCTAACGACTCCTGTATTTTGTGTATATTGAACTGTATATCACCGGGTAAACTGTTCAGATTTATTTGTTTAAATTTATAATCTTAAATAAAAACAAAACTTTATGCAATTCAGCCGGAGTTGTCACGCTATTTCCTATAGCACAGATCTAGTCCTAGCCAAGTATGAATTAACTATTAAGGTTAGAAAACCTAGGGGTCTGGAAACGTATTCAAATCAACTTTTAGGTATTAAACTTTTTGAAAGTTCTGATCAGAAATAAGGTCTATGCCTAAGTCAAGACCAATAATGGGCACATTGTGGCAACCAATCAACCATCATGTTTGAGGACCTCTCACCCAATAAAGGATTGACCGCCATGGGTGCTACACTTCCCACATCACTACTTTATTTACTGACTCCTTGGGTGTCACACGGTTGTGATTTCCAAGGGTGACGGAAGTCTCTGGGTCATGCCAGTAAGGTACAAGTGACCAAGGTTCAGCAATAAGGGTGCTGCAATGATCTGATGGACCATAAACTTAGAACAATATCACCAGCACACCAAAATGTTCCTTACTCTAACTCTGTAGAAGAAGTCTTCTACTGGTGACTATAACTCAGATTAAGGACTGTTTTGGTGTACTGGTGATATGTGATCCATTGTTCTCTTGGCTTAAAGGGCTCTTGAACCCTCAAGGGGGGTAGAAAACACTGACCCACATGGTAAAGGGATCTTACATCCTCAAGTAGGGTAGAAAACACTGACCCACATGGTAAAGGGATCTTACATCCTCAAGCAGGGAACAAAACACTGACCCAGATGGTAAAGGGATCTCCCCCCCTTAAGTAGGTAGAAAACACTGACCCACATGGTAAAGGGATCGTCCACCCTCAAGCAGGGTACAAAACACTGACCCACATGGTAAAGGGATCGTCCACCCTCAAGCAGGGTACAAAACACTGAACCACATGGTAAAGGGATCTTCCCCCTCCTTAAGTAGGGTAGAAAACACTGACCAATATGGTAAAGGCATCTTCCGCCCTCCTTAAGTAGGGTAGAAAACACTGACCAATATGGTAAAGGCATCTTCCGCCCTCAGGTAGGGTACAAAACACTGACTCAGATGGTAAAGAGAGCGTCCACCCTCAAGCAGGGTACACAACACTGACCCATATTTTAAAGGGATTTTCCACCTTTAAGGGGGGTAGAAAACACTGACCCAGATGGTAAAGGGATCTTCCACCCTCAAGTAGGGTAGAAAACTCTGACCCGGATGGTAAAGGGATCTTCCACCCTCAAGCAGGATAGAAAACACTGTGACCCAGGTAATAAAATGCACCACGATCCCTCTAGACTAGAAGTAAGCACAAGTCCTGATTCTCCCAATGAAAACTTTCCTATTTGTTTTTGTTGTCCCTTCCCTGTGCCACTTGGTGGTGTTTTTATTTTCCTGTTGGAAACAAACGCGGGATGACAATTGGAAGCACATATATACCATTTACTCCTCATTCTCCTAAAGCCTGTGAAAAGCCAATGAAACCAAATCACACACTGCTTTCTCTACCAGAATCCACAGCCAGATCAAACCTACTAGAGATAATTTCTCAGAGAGGAGCCTCCATCAACCTTTTAAATGTTGAATTATTGGAATCCGAGAGGCAGCCGGAGTCCTCATCACCAGTAAAGTTCAGGAGAAGCATAAAACAGGCAGTTGTGTTTTGCAGGAGCAGCTCAGTCGATTGAATCGATCTTGTGCTGTGCAGACTATTGCAACCCCCTATTTTATATTTATGTGTACAGCATACCATAAAGGGAGAAAGGGAACAAATTCAAGCAGTGGCTTTGCTTTAGTAGAAGCAATTAAAAACTAGAAGGAAGGGGCAGAAGGAGAAGAAAAGAAAAAAAGGCAGACTGCATTTTAACATAAACTAATGTTGCCTATTGAAGCGGCTCTTTCTGCAAACGTTTAGGTTTATTTTGTGCGAGAAAAGAAGAGGCTGCATGTTTCTAGCAGAGCAGCTCCATCCAACAGATCTGCTCCCATTGCTGGCTCTGTAAGCAGTTGCCAGAGCTCCTCCTAGTGGCTCTCCGGAGGAATTGCAGCCCGAGCTGTTGGGAAGGTGTGATGATACCAATATTTCCAAATCTTTGCAAGAAAGAGCTTATCGCTCGCAGTTCTTATCCCCTGACACACCGTGGCGGGATTGCTGTGATTTTTCAAACTTCTTCAAAGCTTCCTCAGCACGACTTAGTGCTGTGCAGCAGAGGCAACAGCCCTCTTCCTGTAGATGTGCTAATGTAAAATGATGAACAGGAGGCAAGGAAGATCGCATTGTGCCTTAAAGAGCACCATCAGGGTGACAATACCTCCTTGTCACCAGGGCTCTTATTTCAATCCCTTTGTTTATATCATTTCAGAAGCAAGCTTCAATAGTTTTGCAGCTGCAGATTTGATTAAAATAAGGACTGATGATCCTGCAATGGATGAATGCAATCCTTGTTCAGGCAATTATGGGAATAAGGTGACAATGTTCTGTCCCTAGCTTCCAAATGTTGCTGTCGTCATGTCAGGTGGGCTTCCGATAAGATGTGATGCTTTATTGGTCGCTGCCTGCAAGATACAGCGAAATACAGTTTAGCTTAAGCAGCATAAAATTTAGCAACATATTGTGGCAGTGTGTGGCAATGCCACGGAGTATGCTGGCAACACGGTCACCCAGGCCCCTCTGGCTGAGAGTCCTGGGTGACCGTGTTGCCAGCATACTCTGTGGCATTGCCACACACTACCACAATATTTATAGTAAAATCCAGCCTGATGATTGAGACAAGTGTCCAATACAATCCCTGTTAATTCTGCCTATGGTACCATGTTCTATGCTCTACCCATATTTAAGGTGTAACACAGAGCATGGTGCCATTCAACAGCCCCCCCAGTTATATGAATCCCTGCAGGCTCCTGTTCAGTTTTGAATTTGGTGTGTGTGTGTGTATTGAATTTGGTGTGTGAGTTCGGTGTGTGTGTGTGTGTGTGTGTATTTTCAGCATCTGTGAATGACACAACTAAAGGTTCCATCTGCCACCATGGCAGAACTTGTCATTCTCAATGGAGCACAAATTGCAGTGATGTCATCGCACTTGTAGTCCATTAAGAGCTTCCTCTAGCAAAAGTCCATAGTTGGTGCTAATCTGCTGTCGTAGGAACAATCTGAGCATTGCATCCCCAAGTGAACGCTTTGCAAAAAAAATTCATTTTGTTTTTCTTTTTTAAATCTGGGTGAATTTATTATTTTTTTGTTGCAAAAAGTGGAATACACCTTTAAGCAGCCATCACTGGGAGATCAGCAGCACTGAGATGCAGCAAAGGATTAAAAAAAAAAAAGAGCGTTGTGTTTTAAAAACAAATGGTGACTGTATTTGATACCAAAGAAATGTCATTAGTTGGGGTTTACTACTACTTTAGCATAGCAAGTGTTCTGATAATCAACTGCGTTTCATCGTTTCAATTGCGTTAGATTGAAAGAAGGTAAGATCTGATTGGCTGGTAGCAGTTAGTGCGTTGTATTTTGAAATAAGCCCATGAATGTCTGCATTGCGAGGAGTGTGACCCACTTTGTTAGCCTTTCCCAACTTGAGAAACAAAAATGGCCATTTCCATTTCTTGGATTGTCGCAACATAACTGTTGGCTGTTCACCCTCATGAAGGCATCAAAGGTAAAGGTGTGAGGTAGATTTTTGCTCAGGTCTCCCAAACTCCCACAGCCCGGGTCTCCTACGCTGCACGTTTTTAACCTTACGCAGGAGGCGGAGTCAGACTCATTGCAGAAACATGCACAGCCAGGACCGTAAGAAGCCAATGGGTGATCCATCTCCCTATCATTTACCTATAAATAAAATATCAACATTGGGTGGGCTAGACTCTCCATTCCAATATTTCATTACACAGTCTCTACATTCAGTACAAAACTATAGACATTGTATCCATTCAGCCCTCAGTTTTGTTTTTTGTTGTTTTTTCTAATACGTCTGCCTCTAATATGACATTTTTTAATACTGTTGTTACATGCATGCTTGGCTTGTGGAGATCTTCTATTCTAGGCATCAAGGACATTCGACAGCAAAAGATTATTCTTCCTCCCCTACCACTTGGCAGCTCGGAAAACGCGTCTCCAACCTCGGAGAGGTGAGATTTGGTGGCTGTGTGGTACAACGGGGAGAGAACGCAGCAAAAAAATTGAAACCTTCTGCAAAGTAGAGAGTGTGCAGGGCAAATGTGTATGTTGGAGGCTCACAATGTGTTCTAG